TCCTGTGGGGGGGCTGTAGTTGGGGACACAACGCTACCCGCTGAGGGGCAGCCCGCACCTTACAATGGCGAGTAGTTCACATAAAGGAAGGCGCAAAGAGAAGGAAATTTTAAAAGTAAGATCTGAAGGTAGGAAATCGTTCTCTGTTTTCAGGATGAATGTACTTCAATGGCCGTGAAGGTAAGGGGGCTCTGCCCCCGCTAAAGGAGGAAGCGCATTCTTGTGGTTTGGGGCTTCAGGTAAGAACATTGACCGTGCTTTTTGTAATAGGAATAAGAAGAAGAAGATAGAGTGTGCTTCCCCGGAGCTGGGGTTGGGGGCATTGTAACAGGTGGATAATATCAGTCATAATGGGAGCAAGCCCTTATCTGTCTCAGTGCTGGGGGAAATGATATTGGGAAGGGTAAGAGAAGAGCTCTAGATAAGTACAGGCAGCTAAATTTCATTAAGTCTAAGGGAGGGATCCCAATCAATGTCCCTTTCCTAGAAGGGGAGTAGGAAATAAATGGTTGTCTAGGGCAATTGGTGTAAATTGCTGGCTAGACGATACTGAAAAACTTTCAATCCCCTTCATTGACAAATGAACAAACTTTTTTGGCAAACATGATAGTAGCAAGGGATGGGGGGACATCTCCTGGGGGTGGGGGGGGGGACACTTGCAGACTCGATTAGAAAGGCCCTTTTTTGAAAAGCCTATATTTTAAAATGAGGAAAAGAGGGGATGGGTGTGTGTGGGAAAAAGCAGGTTTTCAACACTTGGGTTGGAAACTAAATGTTAAAAAGGATTCAGCATAAATTATAAATAAAGACAATAGATGGGCAGCAAACAAAGGGGGGCAGCAGAGGCAGCAAAGGGGGTTGCTCCCTTTTAAGGTTTTCATACTAATAGCAGGAGTGAAGAAATAAGAAGATGACTAAGATTAAATTTCAAGTGCAGGAAAATAGATTTATTGCTATAACAGAGACCTGGCTCAATCTGAAAGATAGAGAGATGCCCTCTGAATGTCACATACAAGCTAATAAATTAATCCACACTGACAGGGTCAACAGGAAAGGTGGTGGAGTGCGATGTAGTCAGAGACAATTAATTGTTGTGTTAGACAAGATATTAAATTAGAAGCGTCAGCCACTGAATCTGTTTGGTTACAGCTTCTCGAGGGCCGAGAAAACTAATTTTGGGTGTGATTTACAGGGCCCCAAATCTTGATAGGAGTGCAGTAAACTTCTATGGGACGAAATTCGTAAGGCATTCTACATACGAAAATGTTGTGCTAATGGGAGATTTCAACTATAGACAGATTGGACTGGAGCAATTTGACCAGGAAATTTAGAGTCAGGTGACTTTCTTGATACGATCCAGGATTGTTTTTTAAAACAGTTTGTGAAGAGCCAACTAGGGGAAATAACCTCCTTGACTTGGTTCTTGCCAGTAGGGAAACACTAATTAATAATCTTGAGTTAATGATGAGCTTGGGGAAAGTGATCACAAATCACTCAGTTTTAAAAATATCATGGAATTCCCCTAATAATGGAAATTTCAAGTCTCCGTCCCTGACTTTCGCTTGGCTGATTTCATAGGACTGAAAAATTACTTGGGTGGGCTGAACTGGAATGACCTGACTAAGGGTCAGGTAGGTGGTGATGGTTTGCCGATATGATGCTTTCCAGGGCATAGTTCTAGCTGCTCAGTCAAATTATGTTCCAAATAGGGAAATCAGATCAAACAAAATGATCCAAATGGATGAACAATAGATTAAAATATCTGATTGGTCAAAAGAGAGGCATATATAGGCAAATCAAAAGAGGAGAGGGGCAATTGAGAAATCGATATATTCAGTTAAAGAGAGAAATAAAAAAGGAATTAGAAAAGCAAAAAGAGATTATGAGGTTAAAGTTGCAAGAGAATCGAAGACTAACCCAAAAGGATTTCTTTCAGGTATACAGAAGTAAGATCAGGGACAAGATAGGCCCACTCAAAAGTTCCTCGGGTCAGCTCACTGACAGTGATAAGGAAATGTGTAGAATTTTTAACACATACTTCCTCTCAGTTTTTACACAGGAGGATACCAGCGATATTCCAGTAATGATAAATTATGTAGAACAGGACGATAATAAACTGTGCACTATTAGGGTCACAAGTGACATGGTCCTTAGGCAAATAGATAAATTAAAACCTAACAAATCCCCAGGCCCTGATGAACTGTATGCAAGGTGTTCTAAAGGAATGTAAAGAGGTGCTTAGCACACCTTTGGCTAATCTTTTCAACATATCACTACAAACTGCATGGTGCCAGATAAGTGGAAAATGGCAAATGTGATACCTATTTTCAAAACAGGTGACAGGTCCTTAGCTTCGAACTATAGACCAATAAGCCTAACCTCCATAGTGGGAAAATTTATGGAATCAATAATTGCCGAGGCAGTTCGTAGCCACCTTGAAAAGCATAAATTAATCAACGAATCTCAGCATGGTTTTACAAAGGGGCGTTCCTGCCTTACGAATTTATTAACTTTTTTTACAAAAGGTATTTGAGGGGGTGATCATGGTAATAATAAAATTGTGTATATGGATTTCAGAAAGGCTTTGACGGGGGTCCCACATCAAGACTATGGAAAAAATTAAAGCACAGGAATAGGGGGGAAAATTTTTCCTGGATAGGGGATGGTTGAAAAATAGGCAAGGAGTTTGCATAAATGGGGAGAAATCAAGGGGGAAATGTACGAGCGGTGTTCCCGGGGGTCATTTTGGGCCCCCTGCTGTTCACAATCTACAAACGAAAGAGGGGGGGCATAAAGAGCACATCGAAGTTTTCCCCGATGACACCAAAATAGGCCGTCAATTCATTCTGACGAGGCTTTCGGCACTCCAGAAGATTTAAATAGACATGCAGTTGGGAGAAGTGGCGATGCTTTTAATATAACAAATCAAAGTCTAAAGTTTAAAAAGGACAATAACCATGCCACATATAAACTAAATAATGTGATCTAATATACGGATTTTCGAAAAAGATTTTTGGGTTCTGGTTTGCAGTGACTAAACCAAGACAAAAGTCATAAAATGTTCGCAATAAAGCAATAGAATCTTTGGCTTCATACAGAAGATAAAAAGGATCCCCAGGTTGTTCTTCAACTCTATACATCCTTGTTAGGCCCCATTTAGATTATCTGCAAGTTTTTTGGGCACCTTTTTACAGAAAGATATAAATTTCTGGAAAATTACAAAGGAGGGGGACAAAATTTTACCCATGTACAACCCTTCCCCATGAGGATGACTAAGGGCCCCGAACTGCACTCTCTAGAAAACGTAGAATTAGGGGGATATGATTGAGGGGTATAAATGGGAAACAGGAATAAAAAAAGGGGGTGTAAAAGTGTGCTGAAAAATATTAGCCAGCGACTCGCACAAAGGTTTTAAGTTGGAAAAATTCAAATTTAGGAAGGAATGGAAAGTACTGGGTTTTGGGAATAAATTGTGGGTGGGGAACAAAATCCAAGACAGTTTAAGGCCGAAAGTTGTTAGCCTTTTAAAAATAATTTTAAAATACAAGTATGTGGGGGGGGTTAGTTAGACCTGATCTTGTGCTACCGGTCGGTTGCCGTGTTCCCCCTTTTAAATCAAGTGACCTGACCGACTAGGTTTTGGTGCATTGCTTAACCGGTAGGAACTTGGACCCCCTCGCAGGGGCCCATGGGCCTTCTGCAGTGTTCCTTCGTTTTATGTTCTTTGTTCTTAAAAAAGATACCAAAGTTACTGTGTGTCTTATTTAAACCCTTTTCCACAAACCCTAGCGTAACGCGTAGCCGAATCATGAACTCCTAAAAGGGGCGTTTAAGTGCCTGGCCCCAGCTATGGCACCTTTTTTGTCAATTCAGAGGGTTCTAATACGATAGCACCTAGGGGATCACTTTTGGGTATCCCTTTTCTCTTTCCCCTCCATGACTCAGACTCGTCACTCACTCACCTTGCACTTCTTTCCCTATCAAGTGTACGTAAATAGATTTTTTTTTTGGTTTTTTGTAGTTTTAATACTAAATCGAACGAAATATTGTCCCAAAAAAAATTTCTCTACAAAGTGCGTCTCCCTTCATTACTCTAGACAAAAGGCATAAGTTAGTCTCCCGGGGAAAAAAGGGACAACACCGATTGGCCAATATGCTAAAAAATTTAAAATTAACATAATAAGAACAAGACAAGATAAACGAGTTTTTTTTTTAAAAAATTTCCAGGGGCTCCTTTTTCTTTTTTTGAGAAGCGCTAATACCCGCAGGGTTTATACAGCAGCTGGAGGATGGGAGGGAATCAGGGTTTGGGTCGGGAAAGAAAGTGTCGCTGCCCTTTTTGGATCAAGGACCCCCTTTAAAGAAAGCTAACACGAGCTCTAATTTTTTTTTTTAGGTATTTACGACGAAGATTCGATGAAGAGCAGATCCACTTGAAGATAATTCATAACTTGACACAAGGAAATATGATATATTTTAACGGTCATTACCCGAAACAAATTTAGAAGGAACACAGTCAGTAAGAACATCCTACAAGGAAATAAATTCAGAAAAAGTCTTCGGGTCCTGACGAACTGAATGGAGCTTACTAAACCATTAGCTAGACTTTTGTTTCATAAATCTTATCAAAAAAATATCTTGCAGATGTGGATAATAACCAAGGTGATAGTTATTTACAAAAATGGTGAAAGGCCTCGAGCTTGGCATTATCATCGTATCAGCTAAGATTACATGACTCAGAAGCAGCAGACGCAATTTGTAATTGCCATGATTAACATAATATCGTCAGTCCCAGCATGGCTTCACAAGGTCATTCTTGTCTAACAACGCACTGACGTTTTAATTAATGTGTTGAATTTGATAGCCACTGGCCTAAGGCGGGTCACAGCTGTTCAATACTGGCTAACTGGTTGGAAATCAGTGGTGTCAGTGTAAGTTTATCTTGTTACTGCTGCCATTACATATTTCTTATATATGATCATTGTCATTCCTACACTCACCATGCCTCTCTCGCAGCGCTTGGCCACTTCGTCAGTTCCGTCGATGCCTCTCACGATGGCGGCGCCACCTTTGCCTGCTTTGCTCTCGTAGTCTCCTCCAGCCAGCCCCTCTCCCGAGCCCCCTCGTCGTAGCACTGAGTGGAAGTACGACCCCACGTAGGAGGGCCCTCGGTCACCCAAGCACAGCGAGAAGAACTGCTGGGCACGACGCAGCTGAATCTGCAGATAAAGTTAAAATGAGAACCACAGAAATACGGGATCTGCAGGTTATAGCTAAGGTGAGGATAGGAACCGCTGCATCTGCAGATAGAGTCAAGATGAGGCCTACTGCGTCTGCAGGTTAACCCTAAGGCAAGGATCCCAGAGCCAATGAATCTGGAATGAAGGCGAGGTGGTATAAATGAGAAAATGTTAAATAGAGAACAGATAGGTATGGAGTTCAGATTTCCTCCTTTCCAATTCCAGCTCTATTCTAATATTCACATTTACTCCTTTCCAGTTCTAATTCTTTTTTAATGTCCAGATTTATTCCTATCCACTTCCAGCTCTTTCCTAATGTTCAGATTTCCACCATTCATTAGAAAAGAACTGGAACTGGAAGGGAGTAAATCTGAACACTAAAAAAGAACTGGAATTGGAAAGCATGAATAGCAGCTGCAACGGGAAAGGAGAAAATGATGGAAAAAACAACAGAAGCAGCAACAGCAACAGCAGTAACAACAGCAACAGCAGCAACAACAGAAACAGGGGCAACAAGTGTCGGCGTAACATGAAAAGAAACAGAATATTATTACGTCTGCAGAAATGAGAATGCAGGCGAGGAAAAACTAAGCTCTGTTGATTCGTATCATGAAATATTGAATAGTATATTTCAAAATTATTTTATTATTATCATTATTATTATTATTATTATTATTATTATTATTATTATTATTAGTAGTAGTAGTAGTAGTAGTAGTAGTAGTAGTATTGTTGTTTTTATTATTATTAATTATTACTCAAATTATTATGTTATTATTATTATTAATTATTATAGACGAGGTGAAGCGGTAACCTCATAAGGATCATACAGCACCTGGGGAATAGGTAATCAGGTTTGACCCAAAGAAAGGGAAGAGAGCTCGAATCTTTTAAATCAAAAGCCCTTCACCCCGGCATCAAGGCACACTTTGATTCTAGATGGGGAAATTAACAGAGGAAGAATTACCGACACAAGGACACAAGGGCAACTAATGTGACATTAAATTTAACTTGGCAACGTTTCACTCTTCAGGAGCTTCGTCGAGCTGT